CCCCAAAACCCCAAAACCCCAAAACCCCAAAACCCCGATCGTTCACAAAATAATTGAAATATTAACAACCATGCAGTCTGGGAGCGATAGGGAGGAAATCAAGAAGGAGAAAGCTAAGACTACGGTGGAGAGGTCAAGGGAGTTTAGGAAGAGGAAGAAGAATTATATGGTGAGGTTGGAGGAGAAGAGTAAGGGGCTTGAACAGCAGGTGGAGAGGTTGAAGAGGGAGAATAAGAAGCTGAAGACATCATTAAGGAGATATGAATCTACAGGCTCTGGAGAGACTCCAATCCAGCCTGAGAAGAAGTATGACCATAAGCTTCACGAGTATGAGGACTTTATGAATAACCATATAATGAAGAAGTTAATCGATAACCCTGATGAAGTGAGATACTCTATAATACATCAGATGAAAACTCAATCTTGTGATTATTCAGAGAATAGGACGGAATATCTCAAAGAAAAGTTTAATGATATACTAGAAAATATCGTAAGTATGCATACAAAGTGTTTCCTTGCAGCTATCAAAGAAGTAAAAAGATATGAAATTATAAGGAAGAGCAAAGCTAAGAAGAGAAGAGAGAAGTATATTTCAAAGGAGAAATTTGACATGAAGTCAAGATTTATAGAGACTGTGCTAGCAACACAGGCTGGTGAAATTATTTCTGATAAGAAGAGCCCGGCTATGAAGGCGTATGGGAATATTCGGAAAATAGTAAAAGATCTTGTGAAGCTTAGAAATTCGTTGTTTAATCAATATAAAGTCATCAGAGATTTAAAAGAAATGAATCAGTATACCAAAGAAGAGCTCAGTATTTATTCTAAATTTGTGGAACAAGTTTCAGAAAATATCAAAATCACCCCTCATTTGGTATGGGATATTCCAATAAAAAATAATGAACACGAAATATACGAGTCAGGTGAACTGACAGAATAGGAATATTTTCAACAAAAAACTACGTAGGAGGGGTTTTGGGGTTTTGGGGTTTTGGGGTTTTGGGGTTTTGGGG